CGGGGGGAGTTGAGAAAGTTGTAATCAGGAATCGTTTTCCTCATTCTTCAAGGATAGCAAAGATAGACCACAGAATTTTGTTTGGAAGCTTTACCTCATCTACCCTACAATCCTGAACAGGAAACATTTAAAAGTAACCCTGCTGGGTTGACATGGTGTATGAGCGCAGGATCCTTTGGAAGAATGGGTTAGAGAAATGAAAAACAATGCCTTCAGAAGCGTACAGACCAAGATGGAGGCTATATCAAGAAACAAGAGGTTCGCATTTTGATATTTTCATTGAATAATTTTGTAGCAATGATTTTAAAAATAATTTTGTAGCGATAATTTTGTTTCTGTTATTTTGTAGCAACACTTAAAAAAATCATTTTTTGGGGGGGCTCTTACAGCTCTTATAACAATCCATACACCAATTGTATCAAGCACATTTGTACATATGTTGCCATCATTTTCACAACATTTTCTTTCTACTTGAGTCCTTGGTATCAGCTCCTTATCCTCCACCCTCCCCCCCCCACCCTTCAACCCTCATGACCACTTACTTGATAAATTATGAATTATTATTATTTTCATCTCTTACACCATCCACAGTCTCCCTTCACCCAGGTTTCTGTTGTTCATGCCCCTGGGGGTGTCATTATACAATGATCATGTGATGGTTCCCCCATTCTCTCCCCCTACTTTCTCCCTACCTTCATGGTATCTCTGTTCCCATAATTGTTCCTGAGCGGTTTATCTGTCCTAGATTCTGTGTGCCAAGACCTCTTATCTGTACCTAAGTACATGCTCCGGTTTAGCAGGATTTATAAGGTAGAACTGGAGTCATAATATTGGGGGCAGGGAAGAAGCATTAAAGAACTAGAAGAATGTTGTGTGTTTTGTTAGTGCTATACTGCTCCCTGGCTGGTTTGTCCCTTCTTTGTGACCCTTCTGTGAGGGGATGTCCAATTGTCTACAGATGGGCTTTGGGTCTCCACTCTGACCCCCATCGTTTGCATCAATATATTTGTTTGTTTTGGGTCTTCTGATGCATGATAGCTGATCCTGTTGACACCTCGTGATCACACAGGGTGGTGTGCTTCTTCCATGTGGGCTTTGTTGCTTCCCGGCTAGATGGCTGCTTGTAAAACCCCAGACACTCTATCTTGTAATAGCTGGGCACCATCAGTTTTCTTTGCCACATTTGCTTACACACCCATTTTGTCTTAAGCAATCATGTCAGAAAGGTGAACATCACAGAATGGCAAATGATTAGAACAAAATATTCTTGCATTGAGGAAGGACATGAGTAGATGCCTAAAGTTCATCTGCTACCTTGATACTTAACATATAAATATATGTACATAGAACTATACCCCGACCCTTATATATTAATATATTTATATGCTTATATTTATACCTCTATAAATGTCTTTTGTCTCCTATTTCCCCCTTCTATTTCCTTTTACTTTTCTCATGTCCCACTATCATGCTTAGCCTTCATTAGGCTCTCAGTAATTCCTCTGGGCTACGTTGCACTTGATCAAATCCTACCAGGCATTCTACTCCCTCCTTGCCATCAATTTTAGATCCCTTGTTGCTCCCTTGTCCCTGTGTTTGTTGGCTCCCCACTTCGTTTCCCTCTTCTCCCCCTCTCCCATGTTCTCCTGCAACCATTGGTCGCATTTTTTTCTCCTCAGGATTGTTTATCTTGCCTATCTCATATAGATAGATATGAGAAAGAGAAGAAGAAAAAAAAGGTGGGGGGTGGGCTATAAATAGTTCAAGTTCTGTCCGCTGACCCTTATTGAGTTAGTCTGGGTACTTTAGAGAAACAAATCTACAGAAACTTGTGTATAAGAGAGTTTTATATAAAGGTTAAGTGTGCATCAAGAAAACATCTCAACCCAGTGCTGCCCACGCCCACAAGTCCAACATTAACCCAACACCAATCCACAAAGTCTTCCTCCATCTCACAAAACACACGCAATGATGCCGACTGTAGGAGGAAAGCCAAGTCAGTGAATGTGCAAGCATCTCAGTGCTGACAACAGTCTCCACACGGGTGCTCCAGCACCCAGGGCTGCATCAGGATAGGTCCATGTGGCTTTCCTCAGGGATGTCTTGCAGGAAGTGAGCCTTGCCAGCTAAAGCAGGGAACTGGCTAAGGCAGCTGCACCCTGTTCCGACCACTGGAAAGCAAGAAACCTGAGAGCTAGAAAGGCGAGGTTCACTGAGCCATTTATCCCTCCACCTTTCAATTATTCCCACCACTCTCATGACCCCAGTCATGCCTTTCAGTTCTGATTAGGCCTGGTACAGATAAGAACTCATGGGAGTAGCGATACCCAGAGGGTAGGGGAAAGGTTGGGGGATAAGGGAAGGCAGCAGGATTGCAATGATCCACGCATAATCCCTCCCCCAGGGGGATGAACAACAGAAATGTGGGTGAAGGGAGACAGCGATCAGTGCAAAGTAGGAAAACAAGAATAATTTGTAATATATAAATTATAATTTATCAAAGGGTCACCACTTTGGGAGGGGGCGTGGGAGGAAAAAAGAGGAGCTGATACCCAGGGCTCAAATAGAAAGTAAATGTTAGAAAATGATGATGGCAACATCTGTACAAATGTGCTTGAACGACTGATGTATGGAATGATATAAGGGCCCCCAATAAAATGATTAATATATATAGTGCTCTGTAGTTTTCCTTATATAAATCTTTGGTTTCTTTGGTTAGGTATGTCCCGAGATAGTTCAATTTGGTAACAAGACTTCTTGCCTCACCCTCATATACCCACAGTCTGGCTGCTGTTCCTAGCCCCTGTTGCCAACAGTGCTGGTTACTGTCTTCTTTCTCGCTTTGTTATTCTGCCGTTTGCCACACTGCAGGAAGCTCAGTCTTCAAAAGCGCACAAATCTGGTCGTGGCACTCACAGACTCAAACACTTAAGATGATAAAAAATCCTTGTAGTTGCAAATAATGCTTAAATGGGGGCTCTGGTGATGGATTCTACCTTGGGCTTCGAACCACAGGGCCAGCAGTTTGAAACCACTAGTCCCTGTATAGGAGAAAGATGAGGCTTTTTTTCCTGTAAAGAGTTACATCTTGGAAACCCACAGGGGCAGTTTAACCCTGTCCTATAGGGTCATTACAAGTCAGAATCTACTCGATTGATGGCAGTGAGTTTAGTTTTCTCTCGGGACACATAGGGACACATAGGGACTGCACATTACCTTCATGGCAGCAGGCCACCGTGGATCAGAATTGACTCAATGGCAGTGAGTAGGGGTTGGTTCTTTTCTCAACCTTCAGGAGACCTGGAAGTACCATGGGCTAGGAGTTGGGCTGCTAACCACAAGGCTGGTGGTTCAAAACCACCAGTTGCTCTGCAGGAGCAAAAGGAAGTAATCCGCGCCTATAACTATTTACAACCTTAGAGATTGATATATGGTCTCTATGAGATTGGAGTCCTGGTAGTGGAGAACTGGTAGTGTAGTCGGTTATGTGTTGGGCAGCTAACTGCAAGGTCAACATTTGAAATCATCAGGTTTCTTCTCTTGTGGAGAATGACAGCCTTAGGAACCCACAGGGCAATTCTACCCTGCCCTTATGGGGTCACTATGATTGGCCTGGACTCAGTGCCATTGAGAAAACTTGCATTTCCTTCACTTAGTAGGATTATATCTCAGTATAGCTGATCATTTAACCCATCGTTTAACATAGGTAATGTAGAGGTCAGCTAACTGTGGTCTGAAGCCCAAATCCATCCTAGCATCAGTTGGGTTTGGCTTGTTATTATTAGAATTAAG